GTGGAGCAGAAGTGCGGTGGTCTTGTTCTTTAAGAAAAGCGACAACGCTCTCTTGAAGAACTACAGACCGATTTCCCTTCTGAGCCGCGTCTACGTGCTGTTTTCGAGAGTCATTACGAATCGTCTCGCACGCAGACTCGACGACTTCCAGCCTCCCGAACAAGCCGATTTCCGAAAAGGCTTCAGTACCATAGACCACATACATACCCTGCGGGAGATTGTACAGAAGACCGAAAAGTACAATCTGCCACTTTGCCTCGCGTATGTGGACTATGAGAAAGCCTTTGATTCCGTCGAAATTTGGGCGGTGCTACAGTCCCTTCAGCGGTGCCAAGTTGACTGTCGGTATATCGAGGTGCTGAAGTGTTTGTACAGTAGGGCTACGATGGCTATCCGAGTACAGAACCAGAGTTCGAAACCTATCCAACTGCAGAGAGGTGTAAGACAGGGTGACGTTATATCCCCGAAACTCTTCACCGCTGCGTTGGAAGACGTTTTCAAGCTACTGGACTGGAAAGGATACGTCGAGTTCCTATTTCCGAGAATACGGGAACTGGGGACTTACACATGCTCAATGACCTCAATGGTGTCTCCCAACGGATAGGTCTTAAGATGAACATGGACAAAACAAAGATTATGTCCAATGTCCATGTCACACCTATGCCGGTAGTTGTGGGGAGCACTATGCTCGAAGTTGTTGACGAGTACCTTTACCTGGGACAAATAGTCCGACTAGGTAAGTCCAACTTCGACCGAGAGGTCAATCGACGGATTCAACTCGGCTGGGCAGCGTTCGGGAAATTACGACACATCTTCTCGTCAGGTATACCTCCATCTCTGAAAACTAAAGTGTACCAGTGCGTGTTGCCAGTGATGACTTACGGATCAGAGACGTGGTCCTTCACTGCTGGCCGTATGAGGACGCTCAAGGTCGCTCAGCGAACTATGGAGAGGGCTATGCTCGGAGTTTCTCTGCGTGATAGACTCAGAAATGAGGATATCCGCAGTAAAACCAGAGTGACCGACATAGCCCAACAGATTAGTAAGCTGAAGTGGCAATGGTCCGGCCATATAGCTCGAAGAACCGATAACCGATGGGGAAGAAAGGTTCTCGAGTGGCAGCCTCGTACCGGTAGGCGTAGTGTAGGGCGACCCCCCACTAGATGGAGTGACGACCTGGTAAGACATGCAGGAAGTCGGTGGATGCAGGTGGCTTAGGACCGTGCTTTGTGGCATTACTTGGGGGAGGCCTATGTAATGATCATGATGATGATAATATATTAGCCAATTTAACCCATTTTTATGTAACTTTATTTTATGTATTATATAAATTGATCTTAATATATTTTCTAAAGCAACAAATAAAACATGCGATAGCTTTTATTACTTAACAGTGTTGAAGTCGCCGATATATAACTTATATACAACATAAAAAGAAATAGATACCTATACAATACCTTAGGGCCTTTTTGTTATTTATCTGACAAACTTTTTATTCAATTTTAGGTCGTAGCCACACTTGGAACCACAGCATCGTGTACGTTTGATGCTCTTGACGAATTAGGCGACGTTTGCTTGTCTCGAAATGTTTGGCTACATGTAGATGCTGCCTACGCTGGCTCAGCTTTCATTTGTTCCGAATACCGTTATCTTATGAAAGGTGTAGAAAAAGCGGATTCTTTCAATTTCAACCCGCATAAATGGATGCTTGTTAACTTCGATTGTTCAGCGATGTGGCTTAAACAACCACGTTGGGTTGTCGACACGTATTATATGGACCCATTGTATTTAAAACATGACCAGCAAGGTTTGGCACCGGATTTTCGCCATTGGCAAATTCCAGCGGGGCGTCGTTTCAGAGCATTAAAATTATGGTTTGTACTGAGAATGTACGGCGTTGAAAACCTTCAGAAGTACATTAGGAAGCAAATTGCGCTTGCTCACCTCTTTGAGAAGTTATGCACATCTGACAACAGATTTGAAATAATTGAAGAAGTGACTATGGGACTTGTTTGCTTCAGACTGAAAGGAAGTAACGAGATTAACGAAGAGTTGCTGAGGCGTATAAACGGCCGCGGAAAAATTCATCTGGTACCTTCTAAGATTGAGGATGTTTATTTCTTAAGATTAGCCATTTGTTCGCGTTTCTCTGAAGAAAGTGATAGTCATATATCGTGGGAAGAAGTGAAAATCTCTGCCGACGAAGCACTAGCTCAAAAGTAAACTAAATAGACAACAATTTTTTCCACTCAAGAACAAGTATTATTCATCGTTATGGTAAAATCGCAAAAGCCAAATAAATTTTCTTTAGAATATTTATTTGGCTTTATAAAATAATCTGTACCCAATGAAGTTAATGTTATCATTATATTTTTTTTCTCCTCTGATGTCATCTTTACCAAATACGCCTGCGAGTTGAATACGAACAGGATGTTTTACCTGATCCTGTGACCTCTTCACCAACATACAGCTGCACCAAATCGTTTTCTACACACCAATAAAGGACAACGTCATCGACGCAGTCTCCCGAATCAAGAGAATATACGCCTTTATCATCAAAATGGCAGAAAATGTCTTCAAGAACACAGTGGCGTAACAATAGGGTAGCAAGCCGGAAATGCCTCCTATGGCCGCCAGCCGAAAGGAGCCCTCGGCCCGAGAGGGCCGCAAGCACAGTAGAATCTTAAAATTTATTGATACATTTTTAGAAAAAATTATTAGCTTTATATTAAATAATTGAAGTTAGTTCACAACTTAAATAAAAATCGGAATTTCATTTGTTGCAATCAGTTTAAGAATTTATCCGCTAGATAATAAAATATTCCCCACATCCTCTTATGGTTTAACTGAAAGAAATGAAGTTTAGTTCATATTTTCGACGCAATACTTATGTTGTGGCGCGAGCTCTCGGATATCCTCGCTTCTGCGTGAAATAATTACCTACAATCGCGAGGCGCCCCGGGCTATTGCTATATGATCAGTCGGCGCTAGCGCATTCTAGGCGATTTTATTAGACGAGACACAGTGCCTAAATTAAAATAATTCAATTTAACACGAAAAACCAACAATACAAAATTTCTAAATCTGTCCATGTCATTTTTTTTCATGTATTTGAATATAAATTTATCTATTATTGTCTTAAAACCCTCTCAGAAATGAGAGGAGGCCTGTGCTCAGCAGTGTCACGTATATAAGTAAAATAATATATTTTTGTAAAATATAGCTAAATATATAATTTTTAGCTCGATTTATTTAGCTACTCATACGATTATTTTAAAAATACTATAAACAAGCGAGTGCAGACGCCGTACAATCAGTGCGCATACCATGGAGGTTGGAGAACAGGAGAACAATCACTGTAGAAAATAGTGTCCCAGAAATATGGACACCATAAGTGAGGCGCTGCGATCACTAAGTTCGCTCAATAAATGTCATTTTCAGTCTATTTTTCCGATCAGATGCTAAACCACTTGCACATCCACGCATAATAAAATTTTCTCCATTTTTTATGTTTCTTTTTGTCAAAAATTACACAATTACGGAGCATGAAAATTTTCTCACCAATGCCGCGAATAAAATTTATACATTATTCAACTAACTTCATCTACTTGTACTCATAAACAGCTAACTATGCAGTCATTACTCACCGACATCAGCGCCGCTATAAATTCTACAATTTTCAAGGACAGGCGGGCTATGCTTTAGTACGTAGCGATCGTTCTCCTGTTCTCTAACCTCCATGGCGCATACTATGGATAAGATACTATATAGCAGCGGTTCTCAAACTTTTTTGGTCACGGAACCCTTTTGACAAGCAAAATACTTGACGGAACCCTACAATAAAACAATAGTTTTTAAAAGTGTATTCTTTATTATATAAGCATAATAAAAGTACAATGTAACAGTTACTAATTATTACTTACTTTACCACATGGCAAGTACAATAATAGAAGATATTAAAAATGAAAAATCTTAACTAATGGGAGGTATGTAACTGTTTTTTATTTTTCATCAATGGTTGAACGAAGACATTTGAAGTCTCATATCTGGTTCGGCGTCCAGTCTATTGCGATATTTTGTTTTCGTGGCTGCATAGGTTGAGAATCCTGTTTCGCACAAATATGTTGTTGGGAACGGGAGAAGAATATTCAGAGCCATTCTGCCAAGCATTGGATATTCATTCATCACGGGTTCTTACGATATATCTGCACCAAAAATCGTTGAGAGGCGTCGTTTTGAACAGTGACTCCATACTTGTGTCTGATGACATTTCTAAAAGAGATTCATATATCTCGTTTGACATACTTTCGGGCTCTTGCAAGTTGGGTAAAAAAAGGATTATGAATCCATGAATTCAGCTTCATTTTTGTATTCTGTTCTTCGGGAAAATACTTTTCAAAAGATGCGCGCATCGAAGTGAGAAATTGGACAATTATTCAAGCACATCATCTTGAAACATTTCTGAGTCGTTATCGCTAATAAACTCACTGAGTGACTTAAAGCTTTCTATTTCTCTCTTACCAACGCAAATAATCCAAAAATCTAATTTTCTTTTGAAGGCAGTTATTTTGTTATAGGCCTGGAATACTGTTGTCTGTTTACCTTGCAATGATAAATTCAATTCGTTCAGTTTTTGAAAGATTTGCGCCATAAAAGACAATCGGAACAACCAAGTTTTATCATACAAACGGTCTTTCAAATTAAAAGAAACTGTATCTGCTGAAAGAAACATTTGTAACTCGGCTCTAAGTTCAAATAGCCTTGTTAAAGTTTTACACCGAGACAGCCATCGCACTTCTGTATGGAGCAGCAGTGTTTTATGTTTTCTGCCATAATCTTCACACAATAATGAGAACAATCGGGATTGTAGTGGTCGTGGTTTGATAAAATTATTTATTTTTACCGCTTCATCCATAACTACTTTTAGATTTGACGGCATTTGCTTCATCGCAAGTGCTTGGCTATGCAGAATACAATGGCAGGAATTACAATTAGGGGCTTTACTTTTTTATTCGTGATACTGCTCCTGCTGTTTTACCTGTCATCGCCTTGGCCCCATCTGTACAAACGTCAATGAAATCGTTCCAACTAAGATTATTTTCTTTAAAAAATATGTTTATTTTATTAAAAATTTCTTCCCCGGTAGTGTATGTGGGCAGCGGTGAACACATAAGCATGTCTTCTTCAAAAGAACGTTCATATGGATATCTCACGATAACCAGCAAGATAGCCAGACCAGTGACATCAGTTGACTCATCCATTTGCAAGGCGAATCGTGTTTTTTGTAGACGTGCAGCTAGTTCTTGTTTGACGTAGCTTGCCAGATCATGGATTCGCCGTGAAACAGTATCGTTTGATAGCGGTACAGTAGAAAGATGCTTTGCAGATTTTTCATCGAGCATTGTTATGTCTAACACACGTGGCTTTATTAAATTCTCAGCGATAGTGTGCGCTTCACCTGCTTGTGCAATGCGATAGCTAACTAAATATGATGCCTCCGTGGCCATTTCATTGATAGTTCGTGTTACATGCATCATATTTTTTTTGACTTTCCAATAACTGTTCTTTTTTTACGAACAAAAAATTCTTTATTCTCGTCTTTAGACTCAGGGTGTACAGTTTCTAAATGTCTGCGCAATTTGGCAGGTGCCATGGAACTTGGAACTATTAGGAAGCAGTTTACTACATAACATGCAGAGAGGTGAGCCGTTGGAATCAACAAATCCGAAACTGATATATTATTCATCATACTTCCTTTTTTTCGTCTTTGAAACCGTGGAGCTTGACGTCGTGGCATCATCGTCTGGATCGGTAATTGCTGTATTCTTCGCGCGTACTGCTTTCGAACATTCAGCGTTATTATTTTTTATTTATTTAACTTCATATACACATTAGATGTATATAGGCGGACTTAATGCCTGAGGCATTATCTACCAGTCTACCTTAGAGTAGTGCAGAGATAAAAGAGGTAGGTGTAATAAGAAGTATGTACAATACATATATACATATATACATTTACATAAACATATATACACATATATAAACTCATACATATATAATCGTATAAATATATACATATATAAAAATTGTGTAAGTATATATACATAAAATTAAACATATATATATATATATATATACATACATACATACATACATACACACACACATATATATTAAATATAATATTAAATACTGCTAACTACGAACGCTAAATTGATTCTGCCATTTTATTGACGAGCATTTCTCGCACTTTAGACTTGAACGTAATCCGGTTTTCGGCACTCCTGATTTCGGAAGGAAGAGCGTTCCAAAGAACAGATTGAACAAAGAACGATGATTGAACAAAGTTAGTACTAAAAGGGGGGCACTGAAGCAAAAGGTTATTACTAGAACGGAGAACTCTATCATGATTGGAGCTAAGATATTGAAAATGAGAATTATTAGAAGATGTTGTTGCAACATGTTTAACGCATTTAAGCCAACGTTCCATTCTTCTTTATTAATAATGTTACACGTCAGGATAGTGTGGTCAAAATAATGCTCAATCGTTACTGCGTTTATGAGACAAAGTTTAGTCCAAAGAAGAAATGTACAAAACTGATACAATCAGAATACAGCAGGCAGTAGAACAATGAACACTTGTTTCATATCACGTTTAAACTCCACAATTCAATTTAGAGTACCGCTGCTATACAGGGATTGGGCATCAGTGGGTTCTGTTTATACAAAGATACTCTTTGATCTGTGATCACTGATCAGTGCGTTCCAGTTCCATGCGTATCACTTTTTCACACAGATAGCGTAAACGAATGAAAGCGCAACCCAGCACCATGAATGCTACTTCGTTAAGAGGTGAGAGTAAGTCAGCTCAAATTCTAATTTCGCCCCCACTTCCCCGCGCGTCGTATGCTATGTACCGACATGTTTGTAATCACTAATACTCTAAGTAGATAGGTCGTTAGATACTTATTTCATTATGTTTATCATATATATGCCTGTTTCTTAACGCCAACCCAGTCGCTTCTTATTTTTATAACGGTTATTTCCCATTTTAATTTTACGTCTTCCTGTTGCGTAATGTGTTTTCTGATCGTAAGCGACACAACTTCTCCCTTCAAAAGCCGGAGCAATACTAATGGAGGGACAGGAACCAAGCTTACGCGCCGATAGTTTAGGTAATTTCTTTTTTACAGTGAAAATAATGATATTTTAAAAAAAGTAAATAACATAAGCACTGCTTTATAGTTCAGTTAGTATGCAAAGTTTCATTATCTTATTTAAAGTATTTTATGAACAACAGCGGTTTATTGTTCAGTTTGGAGGTAACTTTGGATTTTTTTTCTATCGAGAAAATTTTACGGAATCGTGTTTTCGTCTAACATAAACCTTAACATTAATCCTCAACTTTACCATATATTTATTTCAAAATTAATGCTGCAATACTTTCGGCATAACGGAGGATCTTGCTAAGCCATTTGAGGTTATATTTCCCCTTAAATGATAATATTTATATGATTAATAATTTTATACTTAGTTTTAATAGTTATACTCAGTTTATAATAGTTTATTTGATAATTATAAATTATAATTATGTGGCAAATAATATTTATCATTATAAAATATATATTTGACGGCAGCATGACTTAGCAATGAGTTGCAGCGTTGAATGCGCTGCGGGTTCGAATCCCGCAAGGAATAAAAATTTGTATGACCAACAAATAATTGTTCCTGGTCTGGATAATAATGGGTCTGGTAAAATTTATGTACTTATGTTAACTGCCCCACGATATACCTTTCTTTACTTTGAGTATTAAACCAAAGGAGACGGCATCGCAAGTCATACCCCTCACTAAAAGGTACGAGAGTCCGACTCATAGCCGTTATATAAAACTAGTTGCTCCACGTCGTGCGCCATTACGCAAGTGATCATGCCAGTCAATTGAGCTGCGACAAAAATTCCGAATTGCAGTGTCTTTCATGCAAAAAACAATCAAAACTTTTATATAAAATAAAGGCCGAATAAGTCGAATCGAAACTTGCCACTTCGTAGCAAATGTAGGTATGCAATTTTTGTAAAATTAAATTGATATCACTGCAACCGAAAGTACAGCAATGTTTGTCTGCCGAGCAGAATTTTGTTTTTTGTTTAGATTTTATAATAAAGTATTACGTTTTTTACGTGGTAGAGCCATGCTGCAGTTATATTAGTAGTATAGTTGTAGTATGAATGGGTCGGCTCGACCGGGGAAGGACCACGCTCTCACAGAATACCAGCGTCAAATAGTAGCTTAATGCTACTGTGGTTCGTATGGTGAGTGTAGAGACCCGGAGACCCTTTTTACTGGAAACGAGGCATTCCATCTAAGTCCTCACGGATGACAACGCATCTGCATTTTGATTCGTAATCGAGGATAGATGTAGATGTCTGTGGGCCACAGCAACCACTTACCATCAGGTGGGCTGTGTGCTCGTTTGTCACCCTACCTTATAAAAAAAATTGTTATGAAATCTTAGTAGGTATTATAAAATTTGCTACCAAAAAGGAGCAAATTTTTCTATTATTGGTTTATTAATAATAATAAATGAAAATAATTTATTCGGTAAATAATCATTTATTAATTATAACCTGGAATGTGGTCTCCTTTTAGGTATAAAAACTTGTGTTAGGAGACTCCACTTTTTCATAGCATTACTTACAATTACTATTTGCATAATCTTTACATAATAATTAACTATAAAATTAAGATAAAAAATATATTCATTGTGTTTACGCGCGCGTGCCCGTCTGTGTGTGTGTGTGTGTGTGTAAGAGAATGGGTATGTGTAAACGAGTGAGTAAATGCGCGCACGCACTTGTGTGTGTGCGTGTCATAAATATAATACATTATTTCATAAAGCTTAAAAGATCCTCAGTATCACCATAGCTGTTATGAAATAGCCGTTCGGTTTGAACATATTTGCAATTATGGCAGTTAAGGTGATGAATTTTTATGCTTTTATTAATGGCGTTGTATAGAGTCGCTGACTGTTTTACATATTGATTCCTATATAGCTAGAACAGTTTTAACAGCTACAGCTGTAGCCACAACGTTTTGCCTTTTTTCGGCTACAATACAACGGTTAAACTTTATACCTTTATGCAGTCATAGAACTGAATATAATTTTTTTTTCTAATTTTGTTTTCGCTATGCCCTTTCAACTTCTATAAATTTGGTTTTTATAGCTCCACTTTATACAGGAATACAATATACTAAGATAGATTAAGCCAAAGCAATATATATATTTGATATAGTAACTTTTTCGTTTTAGTGTTTTAAAGGTCCATTTCAGATATTCATGATTAATTCAACGTGTCTATGCCATGACAAATTTAGGTCAACTATGACTCTTAAATACTTGGTCTCAGAGAACTTACTAATTAATGAACAGCAGCAACTAGTATTTAGGGGATCATAGCATATGTGAAGTTTAATTTGGAAATTAATATTAGGCTGAGTTTGAATATAATTTGTAAAACATCGAACTCAACAAGGTCGTGGGTTCTAATCCGCCATTCGATTACAAGCAGTTTAAGCTTACCACGAGGGATTAAGGGAAATATTAGTAATGTTTATAGTATTGTTAATATTCTTTAAAAAAAAAGTATATAAAGTAAGTAGGTTAGTGTTCAGACACTTAGCGATCCTAGCAAGGCCTTCTTCAGCTGATCTACGAATAGTATCCCAGTAAATATTACTACAGTATCATCTGTATAGGAGATTATGTTGCTGCCTTCGTTAATGACCATGTTGGTTAGATTATTTATGTAGAATTAAAACAAAGTAGGACCCAGGACACTGCCGTGAAGAACTCAGAATGTTATATCTGATTCATCGCTTAAGTATTCACCTATCTTTACTTTCTCCTTGTGATCCTTAAGATACTCTTTAAATATATCTAAGTAAGTACTCCTTATCTTATCCTCAAGTCTGTGCATAAGGGTTGATTTTCCATATTTCCAAGAGATCCTCTAAGCGGCAGACTTGGATTGCAGCATGTAGAAATCACGATTCTTGGATGTCTAAGCGCTAGCACCATTTGCTCCGAACATTTTGATAAATCATATTTCATACCCCCAAGTTATCAATAAAAGAAGGTTAGCCGATACTGATATTAAATGAAACTAATTTTACGCATTTTATCGTGTTAAATTTTGACTTTTGATTCCTGGCGTTACGGGTGTTTTACAGTACAAACTTCAATGTCACACCTATGACAAAATGCAGCACGGGCTGAAGCGGCACAGCACAAAACGACCGTATCTAAGTGAACAGACTGTACACCAAGGAAAATTAAACTAAAAAAACGTTTTTAGTGTACCTTGGTCATGGATGATATGATAATTAAGCAGTTGATGAAATGCATGCTAGCAGCCAAAGGCATTAGGGCTATGTCAACTACGGGGTCGATATTGTATGCGATAATTTAGATGAGGCTACTGACGCATTAGTGTTTTTATTGCTCGGTA